TGTTGAAGTCCCGTCCTACCCAGGACGTGTATCCTGTGAATTGATAGGCCTCCCGGGCATAGGGAAAGGGTTGACCCCCTTGCCCAATGAGAAACCCATCATCGGCGGTCCCCATGGGAGGACCGGCGGACACCAGAGAACCGGGGAGAGGGGTGGAGTTCCGGCCCCTCTTGTGGCGGACCTGAGAAGAAGAGGAGGACCCAGTCTCCTGAATTGATGGACCGGGGATGGCAGTGGGACGGATGGAGAAGGGGACAGTGGCCTTCCCAAAACTGGAGGACCGAATCAACTCCTCCGTCTCCAAAAAAGATTGATGGATATTTGTTCCGGGGAGACGAACGTCGCCATGACCAAAGGGAGTCCCAAAAATATTCTCCGCCGCAGAATTTGCAAAATTAAGGATATTGGACGTTTGGGGCTGGGAAATTGCTTCGTCCCCCCCACAGCCAGAGGAGGGGGAATATTCCCAAGGAGATTCCGTGCTGCACGGAATCCCAATCCCGACCACCTGAACGTGAGGCGGCTCAAGGGACCCTTGCGAACCAGTGGCGCGCCCTGTCGGAAGGGGCCCACTGATTTGGGGGTGGAAACCTAGTGGACCCATAGGCTGAGCCGAAGAAGAAGTTCCCCTGCCAAAGAGAGGAGTGTGAGGAACGCCGGGGATAAGGCCGGACACCCTCAGGGTCCCCTGAGGGAAGTCATAAAGGCCATCATCTTCGGAGACGTCCTCAACCACCACCTCTTCCGAAAGGGGAGGTTGGTCGACAAGCGCCAAAGATAGGGCCCCAGCCGCGGACCCTGATTCTTCGCCCTCGGTGTCCACCTCTGGGGAAGGATCCCTTCGAGATGATCGCCGGCGGAGTCGAGTGCTCCTGAAAGGAGGAACCCAAGAGGAAGTTGTGTTTCCCGACGGCTCTTGAAGAGGAGTATCGGGAGACACCCAGTATCCAAGACCCCGGAGGTTTGAATCCTTGAAGAGAAGCGCTCGGGGAACCAGATAGCCATTCTTGAGAAGGAGACGGTAGATCCCATCAAGCTCCGAGTCACGCGGAGGAAAAGTATGAGAAGGAAATTTGTCTTCCTTCTTTCGCCACACATTGGGGAAGGGGAGATTCTCCGGGACTACCACCACGAAGAAGCGACGGAACCAGTCATCAAGTTTGTCAACGGGGCTGTCCAAAAACTGCATATCGGTCCGGGCCG